GATGAGGAAATATTTTAAAAATAAACACTCTCCAAATAACGAAAGACATAATACGATAAAATATGTACTACGATATTTCACGCAATGATTTGTGATGAAGAGAGACCTTTACAATGAGGCTTAACAGAATTTTGAGCAAAGAGACGCATAAAAAGATATGATCAATGAGAGCAAGAGCAAAACATGTAAGCTAGCTTTTGGTTTACACAGAGAAACTTTTGGGTAAACATCTGTCGGTTGGGTAGTGTTCCTTGTATTCTCTAACATGAACGTCCAATTCATCTCGCTGGAGTTTGATCCGATTGGTCATTTCTCTGAATGCAAGTTCATTGTGTTTCTAACGCCACTATCTCAAAAAAGACACACAGTACTGTCAATATTGTTTGGAACTAACTTGTATACATCTTCGAACATATCATGATAATGAGCCCATTTTTCTTTTTCAGCACTATTGAACGCCTTCAGTACACGCTTACGACACTAAAACGCCAAGCATAAAGTTTAATAATGCACTAAGAACATGTATAAACTACCTCTTCCTGCCACTTTCTTTCCTCATCATCGTTCCACCAGCCTTTTGCAGTAATATACTTCTTAAATCGAGTAATTGGATGACTCTTCTCACTCCACTCTTGCACCTCTTCTGACAACCTACATAAGGGAAAATTAACAAAAAAAAGCAGAGAAGCTCGCAGACTTAATTGATTAGCTTTCCATAGGTGTGTACAAACCAAATCAAATCTTCAACTGTTTTCGATACTCCATTACAGTTGATTTGCATGAAATATGAATATTTTAATTTCAATACTTCGCTTCTGTACTGCTGAATTCTAAGCAGTTAGTAGTGGCGATACAACACTTTGCAAAAGTTTGGCCAGATAAAATTCTTAATATACATATTCAAACCTCTCAACGGTTTACTTCCTCGTCTTGGCTGGGCGCTATTCCCGGGTGTCCGGCAGCGATGTATAGCGGGTATTCATCACACCAGCAGGGTCTCCTAAGCTGAGAACGACTCCGGCGTTTCCATCCAGTATCCACCACCGTCCTGGTATCAAACTAGTTGCATGATGGCAAATCTCCCTCTGATCCACAAGGGCGGCCACTGCCTGCGGTGGAGACTGTCTGGGGCAGACTTTGGCTATGTTGACATCGAGATTCCAGGGAACCGCAACAGCTAAACCAGTAAAACGCAGAAAAAATCAAATTGTACTGGGGACCGCACCACCAGTGAAAACGGGCCATTCAAGTACGTATACAAGTAATATGTACTCAACAAATATTGCATGGTGAAACCTTTAATAGAATATGGTTTTGAAACAACATTATTGAAAGTTACTCAAAATTTCTCTACTTGCAGATCTCAGAAACTGTCATGTAAAACATACCGGTAGAAAGACGAGTCGTCACTGGTGGAGTGGTGACCTAGTCTATAAGTCATAGCCTCAATAAGAACTGGCTTATTTTCGACTGCAAGCTTCCGAGCAGCTTTTGTAGCATTGTAGACGGCAAACACATCATTTCCATCAACACTTAAAACCACACTATCATAGCTACTTATGGAGATGACAAACAATCACCCGTAGGCAACACGCACCGGATCGTATGCAATCCATAGCCAGCTCCTTTCCCTGCAATGCCGTCGCCGCCATACTGCTCCGAAGTAGGTGTACTGATAGCATAACCATTGTTTCGACAGAAAAAGATGATAGGGCATTTCTAAGAAAAGTACACATTAAACGTAGAAAAATAGCGTTACGAAATGTATTATTGTCTCTATCTATTTTCCATTTCGTAATAGCTACATGGGCCATCGGCCAGAAATCACAGTTATATGCAGAGATAGAGAACAGTTTTTATTAATTATCTCAGATAATTTAAAAGCCGCAAACACCCCAGTAAATACCTAACGAAGATCACAGAACAGGTCGATACGTGACCCCAGCCAAGGATTAAGCAGTCCAGATGATCCCTAGGAAGGGAGAGGTAACCGTTTGTTCATTAGTATGAGACTTCTTCAGTTACGTCATGTCAATTCAACTGCGTTAACCTTTGGCCACGAAAAGAACCGCACTGTGATCAAGCACCTGGAAAGCCTCGTGACGCCAACACACCCAGCACCAGCTTGGTTCACTGGGAGTGCAAACACTACTCTTCACCTCAAAGAACAACAATATTTCGATATCCTTGCTTTACTATGACATATACAATCATATATATATATATATATATATATATATATATATATATATGT